CTTCTGGGCCTTGAACATGTTAGGAGCTGAAGCCATCGGGCTCCATACAATTGAAACAAAAGAACAAACTGCGTAAGTCCTCCACGGCTTTTCCCGCCTTTTTTTTGCAATCGGATAAGGCCCTGATGTCGTTGCATCCATCAGGACTTGAACTCAGAATGTGGCAGCCAACCTCCTTCTCTCTCTCTCTCTCTCTCTCACCTCACAGGTCACTCTGATCAGTCTCTGAATGTCCTCCACTGAAGCTCTCCCTCCCTCTCGTACTACAGCGGTGGCGCCCAGTGCCGTTGACTCCACTGCTCTATGCTCGCTGTCCCTCGTTCAGTTGCCTCTCCAACGCACAAGAATGCAGCAGCGCTTCCGCATTGATAGTGGCTCTAACCACTAATGGAACACGGAATGGGACTTGGAACTAGGAGCTGGAAAACTGGGACGTGGAACTTGGGACCGGGACCTGGGACTGGACCAGGGTACTGAGATTCGTAAATCCTTTCACATCTGTATGCGGATCTGGATGTGTCTGGTATGGATACATCTAGCCACAGATCTGGATATGGGCCTTCATGTGCGTGGTGTCCGGGTCTGGAGTCACAGTGGCATTGCTTTTTTTTTTTTTTTTTTTTTTTTTTTTTTAAACAGAACCTGTCGGTTCTGACTCCTGCCATTCTGGGGAGCAACAGTCCGGTTCCTTTTTTTTTTCATAGAAGCGAGCTGTTCTCACCACTGGATATGCGAGCTTCCCGGTTATGCGTGCGTCCTGCAAATGTCTTTGTTTCTCAAATCGTCATCACTTCCTCTCGCCTAGATCGCACGAGCAACCTTGTGGCAATTTGGAAGCAGTGCACACAGAAAAAGAACAGAGCCAGTCCGGTTCCTATTCCCCCGGCAAGTCATAATTGATTACAAAAAGTACTCACACACGCTCCTTCCCATGATGGGTGGAAGGTCCGAGTGGGCGGCATTGATTACTTTCATAATGAAGGATATACCACCCCTCCCCCCTGCCTAGGTTAGTACTGTAGTGAAATTCTATTGAACATCAGTTACAATTATTTATAGTTTTTTAGGTCTACAGTTGAGTGATTAATTAATGTTTTTCTTAAGACTGTATGAGTGTGCTCATGTTAGTGCTTTTCTGACTGGACGAGACGATGATCAAAGTCGGTTCTGTGAATATGCCCTTATTCTAGGCTACCAGCCAGGCCGCCTGGGTGACCTTGCTTTCCCGGGCGGCCCGGCCGTGCAAAGGACCAAGGAAGATCTGAGCAAAAACAAAAACAAAAACAAAAAAAAAACAAAACAAAAAAATCCCCCAAAAAACTATGTTATGCAGGGAAAAAAACTGAACAACTTTTGCCCCAGGGTGACATCGAATTCTTTACCAAAAAATAAAATAAAATATATATGACGATATATATATTCAGCCTCCTGATGAGTCGGTGAAACTCCGACGAAACAGTTTGTCACAGCCCCTCGTTTGTTGTCCTCTTCTCCCTCTCTGCCTACGGTTTACCGGGCAGTTCTATTTGACGATATATAATATACCTCTCTGTCTACAGTTTACCGGGCAGCTCTGTTCGATGATATATAGTCAAACAGATATCTATATATGTATACAGGGTCACCAGCCCGTACGTACGGAGGTCCCCGGCCAGACCTCCGTACGTACGGGCGTTCGGGGTCCCGTACGGGGTCCGAACCCGACGGC